TGCATACCAGGTGGCTGTGTTCTCAGTTTACTGCCACCGTGACAAAACACCTGAAGTCACTTAAAGAGGAAAGATCTGTTTTAGGATCGGCTTCTGGGCTTTCAGTCACTTGGATCTGTTGCATCTGGGCCTGTGGGGCGCTGGGACACTGTGGCAGGGGCCATGAAGTGAAACAACCGCTTTCCACATCACAGATGGACAGGGAGACGAAGGAGAGGGCTTGGGGCGAGTGATAACTCCCAAGGGTGTGTTCCCAAGGAGCCACTGCCTTGAGCTAGGTTCACTTCCCAAGCTTCCATCACCTCCTGGCAACTCATCAAATTATGAATTGATGAGTGCATTGCTGTGCAGGGGAGGGACCCAGCCTTTTCTGCATGTGAGAGCTTTGCATATCCAAACATCGTAGGCGTGCAAACCATGCAGTAAGAGGTCTTAAAAGGGTAGGAGTGTTAGTTAGCTACAAAAGAGCCCGAGAATACACAGTGAGATTTCTGACCATGCACACCTCAGTGAAAAGAGCAGTTGGCCAGGGAAGAACCTGAGGGCCAGGGGTTGGGGGAAGGGAAGATCGGCCCTTGCCCTCGTTTGTTTTTATTGTCACAATCTGGAATCATCTAGGAAGAGGGAAGCCCAAAATGGGGAATATCCTAGATCAGATTGGCTTGTGGGCATGTCTGTGAGGCACTATCTTATTTCTGATTTACATAAGAGGGCCCATCCATCCCTGAGTAGGCAGGCCTGGGTTGTACAAGGAAGCATGAACTGGTGAGGAAAAGTAGCTTCCTCCTGTTTCCTGCCACACGTTCCTTCATTCTACCCCCATCCCCCATCCCATCCTCCTTAGCTTTTTTTTTTTTTTTTTTTCCCCCACGATAGCATTTCCTTATGTAGCTCTGCCTGTCCTGGATCTCATCATGTAGATCAGGCTGGACTTGAAATCATAGAGATAGACTTCTGCCTCTTGAATGCTGTGATTAAAGGTGTGGCTGCCATGCCTGGCTCTACCCTCATGCTCTTGTGTCCCTGTCAGTGTTGGGTTATTATCTGGGAACTGAAAGATAAGACAAACCCTTTCCTTCCAAGTTCCTTTTGGTTACTGTTTGTCACAGCAACAGAAAGGAAAATAGCAGAGCCATTACATTTACTAATTTGAAAAATAAGTGGTGTCACACGCCTTTAATCCCTGTGCTTGGGTGGGAGAGCCAGGCCGATCTCTGAGTTCAAGGCCAGCCTGGTTTACAGAGTTGAGTTCAGGACAGTCAGGGCTACACAGAGAAATCCTGTCTTGAAAAATAAGTAAATACTTTTAATGGCTAAGCATAGTGGTGCATGCATCTAATCCCAGCACTCTGGAGGTTGAAGCAGGAGGGTTGCAAGTTCAAGGACAGTCTGAGCTACAAAACAAAGTTAAGTTGAAAATCAAATTTAGAGATTTGGAGGTCATTGGTGACCTCAGCCTAAATGAACCAATCTGGTAGAGTGGGTCTCAGAGTGTATTGATATGTAAGTCTGAATGGAGCAGAATGTAGGCAAACTTTTAGGGTCTTGCTGTAGAAGGAAGACAGAAATAGAGGACTCCCTTTCTTAATATGCTAGTTGGGACAGGACTGGGCTGAGCAGGTCTGACAGCCCTGCTCAAAGCCACAGCGACTGGTGACCTGTGCACTCTCCCCAGAGTCCATTCTTGCCCTGGTTCATAATATCCTGTATCCCCTCCACTCTACAGTCCATGCTGCTCTTGGCCCCAAAGCTGAATGAGGCCAACCTCAATGTGGAGCTGATGAAGCACTTTGCAAGGCTGCAAGCCAAGGACGACCAGGGTCCCATCCGCTGCAACACCACCGTCTGCTTAGGCAAAATCGGCTCCTACCTCAGTGCTAGTGTGAGTGTCCTTTAAAGCTATGGAAGGATGGTGGCCCCTTTTGAGCTACAAAGCCTATGTGCATGGGTCCTCATTGTTCCAGAGACTCAGCCCTTGAGCACTGGGTTCTGAACTCAGGTCTGCTTGACTCCCAAGTTTTCACTATCACCTCACTTGAATTTCTGACAGGCCTGGACACTTAACAAGAATGAATGGAAGTTGGGCTTGTGGCACATGCCTTTAGTCCTAGCACCCGGGAGGCAGAATCAGGTGGATCTCTAAGAGTTTGAGGCCAGCCTGGTCTACAGAGTGAGTTCTAGGATACCCAGGGTTACAGTAGGAGACTCTCTCAAAAACCAAACAAACGAACAAAAAAATCAAATAAACAAATGAGTAGGATCAGCAGGTAGGGTTGCTGCTCTGGCCCTACTCCTGGAGGCAGCATAGAACTCAATGATCCAAGAGAAACCCAGGTACTTACTATTATTATTATTATTTTGATTTTTCAAGACAGGGTTTCTCACCGGATAGCGGTGGTGGTGCACGCCTTTAATCTCAGTGTTTGGGAGACAGAGGCAGTCATATTTCTGTGAGTTCAAGACCAGCCTGGTCTACAAAGAGCTAGTTCCAGGTCAGCCTCCAAAGCCATAGAGAAACCCTGTCTCGAAAAACCAAGAAAGACGGTTACTCTTTATCCTGGCTGTCCTGGAACTCACTCTGTAGACCAGGCTGGCCTTGAACTCACAGATCTGCCACCCAAGTGCTGGAGCTAAAGGTGTGTGCTATCACCATCCAGCATAAATAATCTCCTTTTAAATTGTGAATAATAGGTGCACATTTTCAGACCTTGGGTCCAATGGATGCCCCATCCTGGGAAGGAAGGTCTGGTAGTTGGGGCTCCTTGTTGATTCTGTACATTGAAGCATCCTTTCCCTATCAATCTGGGCTCTTAGACTAGACACAGGGTCCTCACCTCCGCCTTCAGCCGGGCCACTAAGGATCCATTTGCACCATCCCGGGTTGCGGGTGTCCTGGGCTTTGCTGCCACACACAATCTCTACTCCATGGATGACTGTGCCCACAAGATCCTGCCTGTGCTCTGCGGCCTTACTGTGGACCCTGAGAAATCTGTACGGGACCAGGTAAGACACAGCCAGGACAGACCCCAGGGTTGGACTTAGGAATATCCAGTCTTCCAGAGGCCTGGCAATCCTTTGGGAGTGCTGGAGCACCCAGCTTGGCCTCTTGCTACTCCATAGGCCTTTAAGACCATCCGAAGCTTCCTGTCCAAGTTGGAGTCTGTGTCAGAAGATCCTACCCAACTGGCAGAAGTAGGTGAGTGACCCTCACTCGCGTTCTCTTTCCCAAATGCTCCCCAAGGGAGCTAGAAAAGCCCTAGTAAACAGCTTCTCTGTTCCACAGCTGGGAGGATTGAGCCTAGAGAAGGGAGGGCTTGCTGTGGATCGCTGTGTTGCAGAACTCGTCCATCCTTCATCTTTCCATGACGCTTATACCTGCTTGTCTCTCATCATCCAGAGAAGGATGTTCATGCAGCATCCAGCCCTGGAACAGGAGGAGCTGCAGCCAGCTGGGCAGGCTGGGCTGTGACCGGTGTATCGTCACTCACCTCCAAGCTCATCCGTGCACACCCCACACCTATGCCATCCGAGACCACTGTGCCGCAGAGACCTGTGCCCGAGGGTGAGGATCCCAGGCTCATTGCCTCAGTGGCTGAGGGTTGAGCGCTGTGGGTGTCAGGCTGTCCTAATGTAGGGACAGGGACATGAGACACGGGTGCTGTCTACACTGTCCCCTCGTGCCCCTTCTTTCACTCTTTCTTCACAGCAACCTCTACCCTGCCCCAAGTTCTCCCTGAGAGCTCAGACTTTTTGTTCCCCAGGAAATCCTGCTCCAGCCCCTGCCCCTGATACCCCGGTGACCTCAGGCCGCTGGGAGACACAGGAAGAAGAGAAGGACTCAGCAGGAGACAGTGCCTCTGCTGACAGATGGGATGATGAGGACTGGGGCAGCTTAGAGGTGAGGGGCTGAAGAGGTGTCCCCAGGGAACCCCAGCTCCCGGCCACAGGCTGGCCTTCAGAGGACAGATTAGAGTCGGGCCTGCCCTCGTCTCTGTGGTACCCTGGTAGGTGAGCTTCACGGATTGGTCATGATAGGCCAGCACCAGCCACTGAGCCCCTGTTCCACTGCAGGGTCCCCAAGAGCTGATTCAGAAAGGAGAGGGTTGGTATGTATCAGAAACAATAAGAAGCCAAAGGGCAGCTGAGCTATGGCTAAGCGGGCTCACTGTGCTGCCCTCTTGAGGACTAAGAATACTGCTGGCCATGCCTTTTCCCTCTCACCCTGTAGCAGGAAGCCGAGTCTGTGCTGGCACAGCAGGATGACTGGAGTGTCAAGGGCCCAGGGAGCCGAGCTGGACAGGTGGGCTGGGTCAGGCAGGGGATCTGTGTGGGGCACCATTTGGCTCTTCACTCTGCTAGTCTGCCTTTCCTCCCATTGTTCACTCACAGGTCAGCCACCCAGACCACAGACCTGTGGAGTCAGACTGGAACAGATGGGAAGCTGAAGGCTCCTGGGGCCAGGGCTGGCAGGAACCCAGCTCTGTGGAGCCACCTCCAGAAGGCACCCGGCTAGCCAGCGAGTATAACTGGGGTGGTGCAGAGCCCAGTGACAAGGGTGACCCCTTTGCTGCCCTGTCCGTTCGTCCCAGCACCCAGGTACGCCCATTGAGAGCGCAGCTTGGGTGGGCTGCTGCTAGGCGTTAACTCCCACTGAAGCCTGTGTTTTCCTTTCAGCCCAGGCCAGACCCAGACTCCTGGGGTGAAGACAGCTGGGAAGGCTTGGAGGCTGAGAGCAGTGAGTGTTCCATGAAGGGCTGACAGGGGGGTCCGGGGAGGGCAGAGAGCTGAGACTGGTCAGTCCAGTCACCCTTTCCTTCCTGATCCCAGGACAGGTGAAGGCAGAGCTGGCACGGAAAAAGCGTGAGGAACGGAGGAGGGAAATGGAAGCCAAGCGGGCAGAGAAAAAGGCCACCAAGGGGCCCATGAAGCTGGGTGCCCGGAAACTGGACTGACAATCCTATCCCCCAACCCCTGGGCGCTTCCAATCATTGGAGAGCAGGCCTGGCGGATGTATTTATTGTACAAACCATGTGAGCCTGGTCACCAAGCCAGGCACATCTAGTGTACATAATCAGAGCCACAATAAATTCTATTTCACATCCTGGGTTCCAGCTCAGCTTAGCCCCTCCCAAGCAGTGGCTCTTGGTGCTGCCATCCCAACCACCTTTGGATGTGAGTATAAATTTGCTCTGAAAGCCAAGAGTAAGTTAAAGGGGCAGATCTGACTTCGCAGTCTCTAGGGACCCTCTTTAGGAAAGCAGACAGCACTCTGTAGACAGGAGCACCCTTGGGTGTTGGGATGCTGGAAGGAGATCTGTGGGCCCCAGAGGATCCTTGAGTCCATCTCTGATTTGGACAAGAGTAAGGGATGTACTTGTCTCCACTGTTAGTAGAAACTCTCAATGATCACCAAGGTGCAGGCCAAGGCAGCTTCAGCGGCGGCGCTGAGGCACACAGGCCCCATGGGGGCGGCTGCGGGTGAAGCCTGCTTTGCAGACACAGCGGAAGGAGCCACTGGTGTTCACGCACCTCTCGCTCTTGCACAGCAGCCCTCGCTGGTTCAGCTCTCGACACTCATCGATGTCTGTAAGATGGGGTGACAGATGCCGGCTTAGGTTAAGTCCCAGTATGGTGCCACCCAACCCCTGCTGGTTCTGCCCTTCTGTCCCCAATGTCTTACCCACACAGCGGGCACGGGAGGTATCCAGCTGAAAGCCACCAGGACACTCACACACCGCCCCACCTGGCCGCTGCACACAGCGGCCGTTCACACAGCGGCACTCATCCGAATCTTCTTCCGAGCTGTCCTCGTCTGTGTGGGCCAGAGGAATATAGATATCAACACCGCTCCTGTTGATGGCCTCCGATCCACACCTGTGCTCCCTTGGCCTCACTCACCTCGAGGTGACTTCCCCAGTAGCAGGGGGCTCGTGTCCCAGAAAGAATTGCTCTCACTCTGCGAAGTCGGGCACTGGGACCCTGGAAGTGGGTTTAGAGTCAGCAACACTGCTTTACTTCAGCCCCTACCCCCAAGTCCCTCAGGTAGCTCACCCGTGCCATGTGGCGGGCATGGTCTGCACTGGGTGCCCCAGCCACGGCCCTGGCGGCAGCAGCAATCATCAAAAGTGAGGGCAGGCCCGGCCAGGGGCCCCATACACATGCCATCCTCTCCTCGCTGGCTCCAGCACACTTCGCGTCGCTCTGGGGCGTGCTCTGTAGAACAAGGCCACTTTAGCAAGCAGGGAGGTAGGGGCTGGCCACCACCGCCCTCCCATCGCACCTGTGGGCGGGGCACTCCACCATGATAAGACTAAAACTTGGCCCAGGACGAATGTCGCCTTCACCCGCCTGGCTCTTGGGGAGCTGGCAGTCATGGCCCGGGTGGGAAGGGGGTGGGAGTGGGGGTGTGGGTTGACATTCGCAGTAGTAAGCCTGGGAGGTTGATGAAGCGGCCAAGGCGGCAAGCAGTCAGATCTTGGCACTCATCCCCATCTCACGGGCATTGGGGTTGGGGGTGGTAGTCACCGTTAAGTCTAGGCTTGGGCCCCTCCTGCTCCCTCCGCTGATCCCCTGGGCCTCACCCATCTCCTCGGGGCTCAGACACTGGCGCTGGGCAGGACTATACTCTGCCGGAGGTGTGCAGGCGCAGCGGTAGCCACCGCGTGTGTTCTCACACACTCCGTTCCTGCAGTTGGACTCATCCAAGCACTCATCCACATCTGAGGAGAGAAACATGCTGGTGACAGGAGCAGGCCTGGATCAGGGTAGCCACTTCCACACAGGGGCACTACTTGCTACTGTGCTCACCCACACATTCCAGCAGGTTGCCATCATAATAGAATCCCTGCTTGCAGTAGCACTCATAGCCTGGCTGCGTGTTCACACACTTGCCCTCCTTGCAGATCTCTGCTCCGAACAATACACATTCGTCGATGTCTGTGTGAACGAGGGATGTGTGAGTGCCCAGTGGGCTCTCCTTTACTTGGAGTCTCAGGTCTCTTGGCTGAGGCGCCTGGGTGGGGCTCATTGGGAGAGTTGAACATAAGGCAGATTATTGGGATCAAGCTGGCATATGGAGTCAGATTTACCTAGTGAGTGGCAGACCCAACCAGCACCCATAAACCAAGCCAAACCAGAATGGGGAAGAGAGGAGAGGGGTCAGGCCAGAGCTTACCACGGTGGGCTGGAATGCCATAGTTTACAATGTTGTTGTCCTGTGTGTAGCCCTTTCCATCAGGACAGAGGCTATGGAACTCGGCTGCAGGGTGAGAAACAACGGGGAGGGAAAATGGACTGAGCACGTCTGTTCTCTCCTTTCCCAGCTACCCAGAGGGAAAGGCCTTTGGTTTCCCAATGAACAAACGAGCTCTGGGAAGGGGTGTATTCCTCTGACCTGAGCTGTAGACCGGACAGGGATAGATTTCGCAGTGGTCTCCCCAGCCAGCCCCCAGTGAGCAGCAGCACTCCTGCTGTGTGACATTGGTGGCCAGTACACTGTCGCAGAACACTGTGTCATCGAAGTTAAGGTAGCACTCCTTCTTGTGGTGGGGCTGCTCCACCTCTGGGGAGGGGTGACAGTTCATGCTTATGGAGGTCTGTCTACTATACCCAAAAACTGTACCCACTCTCTCCTCCACTTGCCCTGGTCCTCCTTGTCACTTAGTGAGTGGTCTAGCTCTACCCCACTTCTCCCAGGCAAAGAGGATTTCTTTCTGTTCTGGGAATTCAGAAAGGTGGAATGGGGACACATCTCTGAGCCCAGTTGTAGCTCCCAGGATTATCCAGTCTGAGAGAAGGGGAGGGTACTCACCCTCACACCCATGCTGGTCCTGGGTGAGTGTGAAACCCTCATCACAGACGCAGACATAGGAGCCCTGGAGGTTCTCACAGGCCCCATGTGGCAGGCACAGGCCTGGGTCCTGGCTGCACTCGTCTATATCTAGTAGGTGCAAGGAAAGCAGGAAATTAGAGCGAGCTCAGCTTTGGACAGACCCAGCCCCCTTTCCCTGGGGTGTGCCCAACTGCCACCTACAGGCTCAGAACCTAAATTTCTGCTCCTCTTTCAAAGCACACACAGCAGATGTCCCCTTGAGCCTGTCTGTGTGTGAGACATTGACTCACGGCTGTTCTGGCAGTGGACTGACCTCCTGACTCCCAGCTGGCATTTGGAGACTTTTACTCTGCCCTCCACTACCTTTCAGTCCCATCACAGATTTGCTATTCTTTGAAGCAAGGTCTGTTTCCTAAGCTAGTCTTGAACTTGAGATTCTCCTGCCTCAGCTTCCCTTGTAGCTGGGATGACAGATAAAACCACCTAACTCAACTCATCACTCTTCATTCCTCCCAGAATTTTGCTCAAGGCAGAGTCGTTCCCTCCCCGCTAAAACACACAAAGAGGACTTTTCAACTGCTATTCTTGGGGTGGAATCCCACCCACAGAGCCCTGCTGAGAGATCCTCTGCTAAGAGAGCCCCCTTTCCACCCATAGCACCCTGCTGAGGGACCCCTTAGGCTTCAAGTTCCAGTTCCATAGTTACCTCCCTTGAAGTAACTTCCAGGCATCTTCACCCTGAACCTGAGACTCATTTTCATGCCCCCCCAAAATCTGGGAGCCCCAGATTATTGCTGAAATATCTATTACAGCACTTGGCCAATGGGGGTATACAGGTATCACTCGGTGGTGAACATACATACGGGTGAGTTGATGGGTTAGACTACTGTACCTGTAAACAGCTGAGGGGATGGAGGGAGGGCTCTCAGCCCCTAAGAGCACTGGCTGCTCTTCCAGATGGCCCAGCACCCACATGTCCACTCACAACCCCCTCTTCCAGTGCCCTCCATGGACATGTATGTATGTGGTACACAGACATAATTCAGGCAAACACACACATGAAAGAAAAATCTCAAAGAAAATTAAAGAGCTGACAGAAGCTTGAATGTAGCCCTTGTTACAGAACAAATGGAAGAGTGAATGAGAGCTAGATGGTCGAAGGATGACTGGGTGAATGGAAAGGCTACAGAAAGGCTGCAGTATGTCAAATAGATTACACTGCCCTGCCACTCCTTTCATGAGCTCTCAGACAACTCCTCATACCTTGGCACTTCCTGCCGCCCACTAGCCGATGTCCCTGGGGACAAAGACATCTGTAGGAACCATTGGTATTGATGCAGTCACCTCCAATGCAGGCCGCAGGGAAGTCACATTCATCAATGTCTGTAAAGATCAGGGTTTGGAGAATCTCAGGGGTTGACCCCAAAAACACAGCCTGGAGCTATCAGAGTTCTCTATTCAAAGAACCCTCAGTCACTCCCACACCCCTGAACCACAGCTGGGATCTGGATGGGGACTGGACCTGAGCAGGAGAGATCCCGGGGTAGGTAAGAACCAGCTAGCGCCCAGGCTCTAGGATCCCTCACCCTCACAATGACTCCGGTCCCTTGACAGATGGTAGCCAGAGAGGCACTGACACTGGAAGGAGCCTGGTGTGTTCGCACAGATGCCATTGTTGCACATGTTTCCAGCCTCACACTCATCCACGTCTGCAGGGCACAGAGGAGTGTTAGCGGCCCAGGCCGGAGGCGATCTCAGAAGAGTGTTAGCGGCCCAGGCCGGAGGCGATCGCAGGCTTCTGTTATGGTTCCCCCATTTCCCCCATTTGTCTGGAGTACTAGAGCTGAAGTCTAGGCAGCCTTCACCCTGCTCCCCATAAATACCATGTATGGCGTCCAAGCCACGTTTGATGCTACAGAGCTCGTAGCTTTCATCTACACTCACCAAACAAGAGGTGTCCTCTAGTCTCACACTGCTTGGGCCCCCAGCTTCTCAGATGGTGCTCTGAAGGCCCAGCCACCTTTCATGACCCTACAATCCCTTTGCTCCCATCTCCCAAAGCCCTTTTACTTGCCCCTGACTTCCCTGGTCTCCTTGTTCATGAAGCTCTGCTAGATGCTCTCTTATCCAGTGCTACCTCCTCGGGAAAATCAGGTTCACCTCAACTCCCCAGAGCCCCATAGTCCACAACTGATAGTTCCCTATGGGCCTGTCTGGCCCAATACTCCCAAGCAACGTTGCTCAGCGTCTACTGGCATCTCTGGCTAAGAGAAGCAAAGTGACCACCCTACTAAGCTCATGTAACATGGATGGGCTCAGCATCTTCCCTCTCAAAGAGGCCTAATCCCAGTGAACAGCACCACCCATGGAATCACTAAATCAGAATCTGGGAGGATCCACCATTCCCTCTCTCCCTAACCTTGACACCCAGCTAGCTAGCCTAGCCAATTTGTTCTAATATCACAGCCCAGGCCACTAGTCTCACCCAATCCGTCCACCAAGCACGCTGCTCTCTTGTCCTTCTTTGCTTAGCTAATTCCTATGGTCCTTTAGAGAAAGTCAGGCCTCCTTCCTTGAGGCTCCTGCCTGATAGTAGACAAGCCTGTCACGCTTCCCAATTTCTCTGAATTCTAGCCTCCAGCCTGCTTTTTGGTACATAATAAAAACACCACAGGGAAGAGGACTAATGATCCCCATCTGACATCTTTTTTCCCCCCCTTCAAATTAACAAGCTTTTCGAGAAAAAGTTTCAATTCTCATCTCTTAAGAGAGGAGGCAAGGCTCAATAGTTAGGGACATTTGTTGCTCTTACACAGAACTGGAGTTGGATTTCCAGCACCCACTTGGCAGCTCACAGAGGTCAATAACTTGAGTTTCAGAAAGTCTGGTCCCCTTTTTTGGCTTCCAAGGGCTCCAGGTATGTACATGGTAAACATACATGCATACAAGCAAAACACCCGACTACATTAAAAAAAAAAAATTCCACCCTCCAAGGCCCAGCTGCTGCTTTGCTAAGGACATAAGCCATTGTCTGCCGAGCACGCTGGAGCTCACCCACGCAACTACGGCCATCAGGTGCAGGCTCATATCCCTGGGCGCACGTGCAACGGAAGGATCCAGGGAGGTTCTCACACCATCCGGGAGAGCAGGGGTTGCCTTCGGAGCACTCGTTGATATCTACAGGGAGGGACGCTAGCACCACTCTGCCCTACACCAATTTACAAGCTGCTGGGGGTGAGGACCTCCCTCCCCAGGGCTAGGGCGTGACTCTACTCCCAGGAGGCCCGCCCCCCACGTGGAGCCTGAACCGCCCTCACCACGACAGGCCCCGCCTCCCTGGCTGCGGTAGCCAGGCTGGCAGGCGATGCACTTATAGCTGCCAGGTTTGTTTTCACATTTGCCATCAGGGCAGGTGCTAGGGTCGCGACACTCGTCGATGTCTGTATGGAAGGGAAAAGGAAAAGGACAGTCTGGGGACAACATGACTGGTTCGGTGCTCAACATGACAGGGCCTCCCTCTGTCACAAACCAAGGCAAAATGGACCGGTTTGGGATTTCCTGACCCCCGCCCGAAAGGTAGAGATGGGTGCAGGCCTTCTGCCCCCATCCTAAGCCGAGGGACAGCCGTGAAGGCCTCTTCCGTCGGGACGGGTACCCCACCTTCGCACACGGGTGGTCGGGAAGTTTTGAGCCGGTAGCCGGGAAAGCAGTTGCATTTATAGTGACCGGGGAAGTTGATGCAAAAGCCGCCGTCGCCGCACAGGTGAGGCTTGGCGCACTCGTTCAGGTCTGAGCGGAAGACAGAGCATACGATGGGTGTGGGGCAGGTGGTAGGAGCCTGTTCCACCCAGTATCCCCCCCCCCCAGGGTAGCCCGGGGCTGGCGGCACTCACCCACACACGAGCGTCCCCCTGCGCCCACATGGAGGCGGTAGCCACGGTTGCAGTGACAATTATAGGAGCCCCCAGTGTTCATGCAGATGCCTCTCCCAGGACCACAGGGCTCCGCCTCGCACTCGTTCACGTCTGGAAGGACGCGCAGGCCAGGAGACATCAAAGGAAGGTTGAGATCCCCAGCCATCCCCTGGGCCACCGCCCCACCCCCTCGCCCACAGCCCCGGCTCACCAACGCAGTAGCGGTGCTGCGGATGTGACCGGTAACCTGGGTTGCAGTGGCAGGAGTAATCCGAGGGGCCAGGCACACACTGTCCGTGGCCACAGATATTCTGGTTCAATCGGCATTCATCCGTCTCTGGCATGGGTAGATAGAGTCAAAGGGCTGATTAAGGAGTACCTGCTTTCTGCCACACCACAGGGGCAGATCTGACACACCAGCTAACTGCTCAGGAAAGCTTGGTCATAGAGTGGCGTCTGGGGTCTGCACATGGGCATTAGATCCTAGGAGTTTCTAAACCTCATCTCAAATAATTCTGATGTCCTTTTCCAGAAAGTCTCTAAATAGGACCCCCGTGTCCTTGCTATCCCTGCCATCTTTGTTACTTCTGTCCCTAGCATTCCAAGAGGCTGACCCATGTCACCTCAAATCAAGCCACGTCTGCTAACTGTCCTATGTTCTTAATACCCTTTCCCAAGGGTCTCTGAGACATATTCTCCCCAGCCCCCTCAATAGTTAAACCGTGTAACCTCAGGTTTATTCATATCCTCTAGCCAGTGACTTCAACACCCCTTGTTCCAAGGACCTGGGTCCCCCATTTTCCAACGGTGGAGGAATCCGACTTGTGCCATAACTGTGTCCAGCTGTCTCTCATCCTTTTGTCCGTTTTATCCTCTCCCCCTCTGATCTCCACCTCTCCCACAAAGCCCAGGGTGTTGCTAAGCTTTGCTCTGGCAAAACAGACCTGATCAGTAGGCATTTGTAGGCTGCTCTCTGCCTGGAGTACTTCTCCTCATACTCTCCTCCCAGACTGTCCTTCCATTCCCACAATCCCGTGGGGGTGGGTGGTCACCTTCCACCTGAGCCCCCATCTCGTGAGCTCATCTAGACTCGGGATTTCAGTCAAGTTCAATGACTGTGTCTTCGGAGTCCACATGCCATAGGCTTGATCTGGCTCCACTGTGACTGGGACAGACTGTTAAAACTCTCTGAGACTCAGCTTTTTTCATATGAAAACTAGACAAGTGATCGTTGCCTTCAGAGCATGAGGAAGTGAAGTAATTTTCATTAGTGAAGCTCTTCACATTGTGCCTAGCAGAGATTGCTCAGTCTGAGTTGCCAGTTGTACAATGCTCAGTCCTTGCTGAAGCTTCTCATAGCCTCTGGCGTCAAACCCGCCTGTTATGGCTGCTCCGTGAACTGGCCTTCCCCTGGTTCTCTGTGGTTTCTCCCTCCTCCACCAATGATTCATACTTTTCTACACCTTTGCCCAGACTTAACTTCTCTGGAATGTTCTTTTTTTTTTTTTTTTTTTTTTTTTTTTTTGGTTTTTCAAGACAAGGAAGGTTTCTCAGTGTGACTGCTCTGGATGCCCTGGAACTCACTCTGTTCCAGAAGCAGGCTGGCTTCAAACTCACAGTGATTCTCCTGTCTCTGCCTCTGGAGTGCTGGGACTAAAGGTGTACCACCACCACCTGGTTGCATGTTCTTTTTCTGAAGCTTCGTGTCCCTCTCCTCCTCACTTCTCTTGAATGTCTAGTAATCTTTAAAATGTTACACAGTCTCTGTCACACACACACACACACACACATTCACACACCCCATAACCTCCTATTGCTACCTAATATCACAACCTCCAGGCTTCCCATCTTCTCTCACTTGTCTTTTTGTAGCATTTATGAGACATGATAGACTTTAATTACTGATCTGCTTTGTGGGTTTCACACCACACTGACCTTGAGCTCTAGGCAGTCCTGCCTTCACCTGAGTATTGAGATTACAGGTGTGAGCCACCACACCTGACTTGTTCTGGTTTATGGGAGGCACATAGTAGGTGCTCAGTACATATAAGTTGAATGATAAATACTCTCAGACTGAGCTGACCATCATACTCGCTGGCTCACTGAAGTCAAAGTGCACCTCTGCAGCTCACTGGATCCCAGCTCCCAGCTCAGGGCAAGTGCTAACCTGTTAGCCTAGGAAGTGATGGGAGGAGGAAAGCTAAGCGGGGTGTGCGGCCTATCCAGAGTGGGGCCCTGCTGGCAGGCCTTACCTGTGACCTGAGTCGGGGCGATCTCCACTGCACTTCTGGATGGGGGCAAGTCTGGCAGGAACCGGTGAAAGGTAGGTGGGGAGGGGCGAGAGATCAACTCTGCCGGAAGAAGGAGGGGCTGTTCAGAGAGCCAGGCTGGTGACTGAGCCTTCCACCCCCGGCAGGCCACCCCCACTCAGTACTCAGTGCGGTAGCCACTCCCACACCTTCCAGTGACTTAGCTCCCAAGAACTGGCCCCACCGGCAGTGCCTAGCTCACCTGGGTAAGGCCGGGCAGGGGAGGTGGTGGCAGTGGGGCGGCTCGGCCGTACCGATCGCTCCTCACTCACTGGCTGCGGTTGATAGCAAAGTAAGTCCCCCTTGCTTCCTTTGTCTCCCTACCCCCTCCGCTTGGGCTCCTATACTCACTGGGTCCGTGGTCACTCCTAAAAGAGAAGATGAGACGTTAAATGCCAGGGCGGGAGGTCAAGACCAACGACCAACAGCAGGCTGTGTGGCTAGGGTAGGTCTCTCAGAGTTGAAAAGTCATGCCTTTGGGTCAAGGGTCAAAGCTTAGATCCTGGGATTAGGGTATGTTTGCTTAGTGGTCATGGTCTGGAGAGCAATGGTTGAGCTAGGTTAGATTTTTTTTGTTTTTGTTTTTGTTTCCAGACAGGGTTTCTCTGTGTAGTCCTGGCTGTTTCTAGAACTTGCTCTGTTTGAGGCTGGCCTCAAACTCACAGAGATTCACCTGCCTCTGCCTCCCGAGTGTTGGGGCTACAGGCATGCACCACCACCCAACACTGAGCTAAGTTTGTACAGTGCTGGCCTTGGAGGTGATAGCTCACGGCCAAATCAATGCTGAGGGTAAAAGGGTAAGACCTGGAGTCAGTGGTTTGGCCTAGGGATTTAAACCTTAGAGCAGTGGCTCTCAACCCTCCTCATGCTACGACACTTTAATACAGATCTTCATGTTGTGGTGACCCCCAACCACAAATTACTTCAGTGCTACTTCATAAGTTTAATTTTGCTACTGTAATATCTGATATGCAACCCTAATGGGGTTACAACCCACAGGTTGAGAACCACTGCCTTAGAGGGTTGGGCTGTGAGTCTTATCTATAGGTCTGGAGTCACTGAATAAAGCCAGACCTCTCTCGTCCTCTGCATCTTCAGGTGGCGGAGCTCTGCTGGGGCTTTCAGGAAGCTGCTGGGGTTTGGGTGGTCCGTCAGGGTGCAGGAAAAGGGAAAAGTCACTTTCACCCTGGATGGTGAGGGTCTGGTGGGAGGTGAGGATGTGGTACCCCTTCCCAGCTGGGCAGATCTCCTTGAAGGCTGCTGTGGTCAAGAATGGACACAGCAAGTGAATTCCTGGATAGGTACACAGCTCACCTCCCCCACATTACCACCAATGTACCTCTGACTCACCTGTACCATCTGCTGGGCAGCGCTGGCACCGTGCACCCCAGGCTTTACCCACACTGCAGCAGCAAAGTTGGCGTGTGAGGCGTGTGGTCAGAGGATGCTGGCACTGGTGTTCGGTGCTCACCAGGCGGAAACACAGGCTCTTCTCCTCTGGTTTGTCAGCTGCAGGGGTGGTAGTGCAGGGCCAGACCCGAACACTGCCCCTCTCAGCCCAGATGCCCTAGACCCTGCTTCTCTGGTTCAGTGAACTCTGGAGCCATATGTGGCATGGCCTCTTGTGACTTCCTGACACCTATGTGACCACTGACTCCTGACTTGAGTTCTGAATTTCATTTGTCCTTCTCATCAAACCAGTGATTTATAGGACCCTTATTTCATCTGACCTCATGTGAGCTCTACCTCAGCTTTGACTCATCACTGGTTCTATCTGCTCTGAGTCTTGTTGCTTCTGATAGCAACGCTTAACCCAGTCTGACTTCTTGTGACCTCTGACTCTGTCTGCTTGGAGCTCTGCCCCTCCCATCCATGCCTTGTGAATTCTCAGGACCAGGATTCCCCAAGTCTTACCAATGCATTGTGTTCGTGAAGGGCCCAAACTATGACCAGATGGGCAGACACACCGATAAGAGCCAGGGTTGTTGAGGCAGTCTCCATGGCGACACATGCCAGGCATCGCGCATTCATTGATGTCTGTGATAAGCAGTTTGGCCACTGTAGCTGGGCCATAAGGTGGCAGCAAGCTGCTCCACACACTTCAGGGGTCTGCCTTAGTTAAACTCCTTTCTCTCTCACCTTGGGACACCCCCTCCCTCAGGACAACCTGCCCATCCTACAGTCCAGACTTTTCAGCTGACCATACCTTGGCAATGGGTGCTGTTGAGCCTCTTGTAGCCTTGGGGGCAGTCAGCACCCATCTCCCCGCGCACAGGTCCTGGCTTCTGTACCCCTGTATCTGCAGAGGACGGGGGACAGACACAATAGCAACAAGACAAGGAAATGTGGAGCCAGGTGTTGGTGGCACACACTTTTAATTCCAGCCCTTGGGAGGCAGGTGGATCTCTATGAGTTGAGGCCAGACTGGTCTACAAGAGGTAGTTCCAGGACAGGCTCCAAAGCTACACAGGGAAACCCTGTCTTGAAAAACAAAACCCTCAAAAGACAAGGAAATATGGGGAGTCTGCAGGAGAGAAAAGAGGGCTCTGCAGAGGAGAGAGAGGATTTGGGGGGTGTAGGGTTGGAGCCAGACACTCACACTGAAGCTGTGGGCATTTGTGGCATTTGCTTTGTCCCCAGGCTGTACCGATGCTTCCACAGCAATCTTCCTGCTTGGTGAGGCCAGGCAAAGGGTTGCTGCCACACTAGAGGGAGAGATGTGGAGAACAATCACAAGGTGTCCTGCCCCCACTTGCCTCCCTCTGAAGCCCCCTTCTTTCCTTTTTCCAGCTCTAACTTGTGACACTCAATTGCATGCTGTCCTGATAGCAAGCATGACCCTGAGATAGAAGGACTTTTCTTTTGGAATTGTAGATTTACTCACGGGCTGCTTGGGCAGTGTATCCTGGAAACAACGTCCCAGTGGCTTTTGGGTGGGTGGCCTCGGGTGCGGGGGCTTGGGATGCGGCAGCAGATGCTGGGAGGAGGCTGGGCCTTCTGCATTTGGCCCCTCTATGCGGTGCACCTGAACTGACGCTTCAGGAGGGTGATGGACACGCACGTTCACCACGGGGGGCGGAGCCTGCACTGGGGTGGGCGGGGCGCGGTGGCCTCAGGGCTGTCCCGCGCCTGGAGGATCGCGGCGCTGAGCTCCTCCAGTTGGCCCGCGCCCAGGTCCGGCTACCCTTATTGCCCGCCCACTTCAGCACCCCCAGGTTGCCCGTCTCTTAGTACCTTCTGCTGAGATTTGCCCTGGCCCCAGGGGCACCAGAAAAGCTGCATGTTGAGCAGGGGGTCCCTCCCCCGGCCCGGGAGGATCCGCGATCACCTGCACCGCGTAGATGGCGTGTTTGCTAGCCACAGACTCGCTTTCTGGAGCAAGGGGTGGTAGCGGACCTGTGGACATGGCCCCAGTCCGGGCCAGTCCGGGGCCTGAGCTGCCGGTGCCAGCTCCAGTGCCTGCAGCAGGCACCTGGCAGAAGCGCCCCGTGAAGTCCGGGGGGCACAGACACTGGTTTCGGGAGGAGCACTGGCCACCGTTCATGCAGGGCAGAGGGCACACCACTGGGGAGGAGACAGGAGTCAGGGCCTGGTGCTCTTCAGGCCCCAGGCCATCATCACCCACATCCTTGCCATGTATTGGCTCTACCCTAACTGGGAAACTACTTTTATAACAGGTCACACACATGGAAATGGCCTTCTGTAGGTCATCTATCCATGATGGGTCCTGGAATCTAAGTTCTAGGCTTAAATCCTGGTCATATGCCCTGATGTTGCCTAGTAACTTACTTCCCCTGCCCAGGCTTCTGGGCCCTCATCCGTGATGGTCATGTTCCCTTGAATGAGACAATGCCTATACAGATGCTTGGCCCAGTGTGGTACAGACTGTAGAAATAACAGCTAAAACTCTCCCCTTAGTTCAGGTCTCAAATCACATCCCTAGTTCATCCTTACCCCCTCCCTCCATCCTGCTACCTACCCCAGCTCATACAGTTGTCAATGACATGCTATTTCTAAGTTCACCAGGATCTGGCCCAGGATATTGACAGAACTCACTATCCAGTTGGGCTCACCACTGGGAACTCTTGTCTGTTAAACTCAGACTCTGGCCCCACCAGTCACAGCCTCTATGGTGTCCCCTGAACTCATCTGTGATCTCCTCAAGGCTTTTGCCTCTCTCCCACTTGTCTACAACCCTGGTGTGACTGCAGAAACCTGCCTCAGGCAAAGTTCTAGCAAAAAAGAACCCCACCCCTTTGCTCATCTTATTGTTCTACTCCCTGTCTGAACATTTGAGGCCATGTTCCCGAACCTTCTTTCTTCTACTGCACACCCCTGGCCCAGGACCTATCTACCTGCCTCTTACCAGTGTGCCAGTATTCTCACAGCTGTATCCCTATCCTTTCCCTGTTCCAGAGTTCTCCACTGCTGATGCATGTCCAGATCAGACCCTTCCAGGCCCAGCTTCTCGCCCAGAAAGGAGGCTTCCTCATCCTCCACCCCTTTACAGCTTGCCTGGCACTCTCCTGAGTTGTAGTCATTTCTGCCTTTCCCACTATAAAAGGTGTTTTGGAGGACAAGGCCTAGTTATCCTTAGTTGTGTCCGGGGCTGAGGAAAGGACATGTGCTTCTAGTCTTGTGTCCCTGAGTTCTGTCTCCAGCCCCTCTCTTGCCTGTTCCAAGGCTGCTCCACTTTCTGGGTTGGGAAGGTGACTGTGTACTCACAGGGGCAGTCCAACTCACTCCTGCTCATCATCATGGGCTCTGAGCATCCCAGTCTAGCCCATCCCATCCTGCACCGTCTCCAGAGACCAGGCCTCAAGGGCAACAGAGGTGTGTCCTAGGCCAGAGGAGGCAGGATCCTCTCCTTCCTGCCTTGCAGTGAGTCACCCACAGTGGCGAGAGTGACCTCTCAGTGACACCCTCCCACTGTGGCCCGGGCACTGAGCCTGAGGGATGTGGGCAGCATGGATAGACAGCAGCCTGCACAGGATGACCAGGCAGGGGGCCTGAGAGGCTGGACACACATACACTCACACGCACAGTCATCCTGTCACACACACACACTCATTCTGACACAAATACAAGCTCACTGTGTAAACACTCCCAGACAGTGACTGTAGACACACACCCAGAGACACACAGAACGCTAACTGAACTAATCACAGCATGCCATGCCATGCCAAAGCCTGTGCATGTCCCTGTGTACACACACACACACACACACACACACACACCCTCACGAGAACTGTGAAACACATGACTGGGACTCCTTTGGTCTGGATCTGTGAGAGAATTTAGGAATGTGAGAGGGGCTGTGTTGCCTGGTACCATCCTAGGCACGGCCTAATTACCCTGTCCAGGAGGGTAATTACTGCTGGGACACCACCCCCTGCCTGGCCGGCAGGGCCCCAGGGGAGGAGTTTTGAGCCATGAACCTTCTCTTTAAAGAGATGCTTAGGAAGGGGTGGGCCCTGGGCTGACAAGGAGGGTCCCTCAGTCTTGGGGTAGATGCAGCTCTGAGAGCTCATGGGTAATATAAGGAATGGACTGGTAGATTGAAGACCCAAAATGAACCCCCTCCAGGCCGATACCACTTCTTACCACCCCCGTATTAGGCCACAAAGCCTTTCCCCTTCAGATTTTGCCAACAACTAACTCCCTTACCCTAGTCGTGACCTTAGCTCCTCCTCCCATAGAACACAGGTGTCTCCATCCACCATGACAAACCAGACAGTTTAAAAAGATTTCTGTTTCTTAGGGAAAGCTTTACCCTCTCCTCTGGACTTCCTACCCCTGCTCTCACCTCTCCAACACTCCGTATGCTCCCTCATAACTAAGCACCTCCTAAGAAGCCTGCATCGTCGGAGACCCCAGCCCAAGCCTCAACCCTAATCCAGTACTTAAAGGTCCAGGCTTCCATGCAGCCCCTCAACTCTGGCTTCTAAGGACTGCATGCAGTCTCTTAAGCTCCCTGGCACCCAGCTGTACCCCAGCTCCCCATCTTTTATGCCCAATGCTCCACTCTGCTTCCTGCCTGGTGCTGTTGTCCGCCCTTCCCTATGCCCCCAGCCAGAGCCCCCAAGCCCTCACCCACGCGGAAGCCAGAGCCGGTGAGCGTGTCGGTACTGTGGCCGTTCTCTCCGATGAGCGTCATATTCGAGCCCTGCTGACAGCTGTCCCGACACTGGCCCTTCAGACAGGTCCGCTTGCAGATCACGGGCGCAAAGACCACCTTGAAGCGCTCGCGGGCCAGCGCCCCGCCCCCTCCCGTGCCCCGCTCGCCGGCCGGCCCCCCCTCGGCCCCGCCGCCCGGGCCCAACAGCGCCAGCAGCAGCGCCAGCAGCCCAGATGCCCCGGCCCGGCGCATCGCAGGGGCCAGGCCGCGGGCAGCCCCTCGGGGCCCGGGCATCCGGGGCCGCACGACCCCGGGAGGAGACGGGGGAGGGCGGGGGCGAGCCCGGGCAGAGGGGGTCGAGAGCTGGGAGCCCGGGAGAGGACTGCAGAGGGCAAAGCGGGGGGAAGAAGCCGAGGCCGAGGGCAGGGAGGGGACAGCAGGAGAGGCTGGGATCCCCGCTGCGAGGGAGAGCGATGGAAGCTGCACTGCGGCTAGAGCGAAGAAACTTCCCTGGCCGGGAGAAACCCAGCCAGGCCCCGAACTGAGGCAGGAGCCAGGAGGCCGGAGCAAGTGGAGGCGGAGAGGAGGAGCGAGGGGAGAGGAAGGCCGGGCGGCCGGCCCGCTCCGCGCCTCCCCCTGGCCGGGCTCTTCTCCCGCGGCCGCCGGGAAGCAGGGAGCGCGCGGAGAGGACGCAGGGAGAAGTGAGCAGTTGTTTTCCCTGGCTGGAGCGCGCCGGCGGCGAGGGGGGCTGGGACGCTGGCCCCGGGCCAGGGAGACAATTTTTTTTTCCTTCTCTCTTTCCCCCCCTGGTTCAAGCGTCGTCACTGCTGCCGGGAGGATCGACGTTGTGCAGCAGGGAGGGAGCCGGCCGGAGTGGGGGTTGTCCCCCAGGTGCCCGCCTGGCGCGGGAACCGAGCTGGGTCCTTTCCAGAATCTTCACCTAGGACTCGCGGGCCTGAACCGCCGGATTCCTCCGGGCGGGGTGTGGAGGCCTGCGCACACCTCCCAGCCCAGCTCCTTTCCCACCTGGTCAAAACGGGGAAACTGAGGCAAATGGGCCTTGCTTGGAGGACCAGAGGACTGTTTAACTTTTGCCCGCTGGCTTTTGTACATTCAGGGGCCCTGAAGTCATAGGTCCTTAATCCTAATCGTATCTTCTCTGGAAGGAAAGGATTTAAGCAGGAGCGCCTTCTAGCCAGGGTTTACCGAAGTCCAAGAAAGACATCTATAGGGTTCCGGAAGAAGAGCAGAAAGAACAAAGCTAGAAACCCAGCTTCCCTGCCAACCCCCCTTTTAGAGGGCTTCCTGGTGCCCACCCTGCCACCTCCCCCCTTCCCCCTTGTCTGGCCTGGCTGGCGGCGCTGGCTCTGGGCCTCAGACACTCTGGAATCGCCAAGGTCTGAGCTCAGGGCCTGGCCCCCTTCCCAGGCTAACAGCCGAGAAGGAGAGTACTACTTGAGTGCTCAGGGGGCTGGGGAGGAGAACATCAGGGCCCTTGGGGCAGGGGTTGGCAGGGGCTGGGGAAGGGTCTTGAATTTGCTCAAGGCTGGCTGTGGTGTCCTGAGCTGGACCATGGGGTGAGAACATGCTGGGACTCACGATCCAGTGTCTGACTCAAAGAACTTAGCACAGCTAGGGGTGACCAGGGTCAGGACTATGCCAAGTCAGGTTCCCAGGGGGAACCATGGGTAGTAACCTGATGCCAAGAGGGATTTGGACTTAGCTTTAGCTCTCTAAAGAGCTAATGGTTTCTACTCTAAGGCTGAATTTATTTGGGTAGATTCAGAGGGAACGGGATGGGGTGGGGGCATTTGATGAGACCTGCTTGAACCACTCGGTAGCTTGGGGCCACTGCTGCGATGCTGGGAAGGGGTGGCCTCTGTGTCCCCAGAGGATTCCTTGCTACTGGAGTCCAGGAGGACTTGTGAGGGGCCCCCCTCCCTTCTGCTGTAGTCACTCTGCATCAGGAAGGGAGGCTGAATACTTACCACCTGGCAGGAGTGGTCTGAAGGGTTTACATTCATTTTTTCCTTCACACTCATATAAACCTGACCCTCCCCTGCCTAGAGTGGGCGGTGGCTCACCTTGGAACACAGCGTAGTCTAACAGTCCAGGCGTGGAGGCTTGGCCTCTTCAAGCCTTGGATTTCTTGTCCACACAATGAGATCTAGTTACCCAACTGTCAAGTGGAGCAACAGCACTGGGGCCGGGAGCCTTCCTTCAAACAGGCTTTCCCACCAGACACTGGAGGGTGAGTCTAAGGGAAACCCTGCAAACCGAGCAAGGTAAAAAAGAGACGGCAAAGGATCATGCAGGGGGAAGAGTGGGCAAGACATTCTGTTTTTATCCTTCCCAAGTCTGAGGAAAGGTGGGGGAAGGGAAAGAGGGGAAGGGGGAGAGGGTAGTGCAGTCTGGGGCCAGGAGCAGGATATAGGTCATGGGGAGGAATCTGGGGTTAATTTTCATCAGTGGACACTGAGTCCCGGCAAGATGGGGAGCTGCTGACTTCACCTCTGGGAGGGATGTAACTTCTTCAATTCAGGCTGTGGAATGTAGAGATTCTGTGAAGTGGAAGATGCTAGAGGCAGGTGATGTGAATGGGCCTCAGGGTTTGACCTGCTTCCCTGGAGGTTTCCCGAGCAGAGGGCAACACTGGGGAGGCCCACTTCAGTCTTCTCAGGAGAGCCACCAGAGCCCAGGGCAGACTGGGACAGAGTCTTCAGCCCCATCTTCAGCACACAGGGAAAGGGTGACTCGGGTGGTTTGAGAAGAGGGTCCGGAGAAACCAAGTAAGTAACCATTCCTGTGCACCAGGGAGGAGAGAGAGCCACCCAAAAGACCCAGAAGGGGTATTAGAGGAACTCAAAAGGAGTTTGTGTGGAAAAGCCAAGAGGGGTGTTTTAGAAGGCGTGTGTGACCAATAGTGCATGACATTGCTGGGAGTGGCCCTGGGTTACCACAGGGACAAGAGTGAGCAATGGGACACCAGCTTAGACCAGCGGTCCACACGTGTGGTCACTGCCAGACTCTTCAGACGCTCAGGGCCTCAGCAGGAAGTGACTGGCACCCTTTAGGCTGGTGAGTGGAGTAGGGTGGAGGAACTGTCCAGGAAAGAACCCCTTTACCTGCAGACTAATAACAGAGGGAAAACCTTCCCACCTTTGAGAACACTATGAGGAGAGCCTTTACATCCCCAGGCTAACTGAAGAGAACCCTAGAGCAGAAGCTGTATGGAGAGCAACATTCAGACACTGTCGGTCCTCAGCAGTCACCTCAGGCTCTCAAGTCCCCGTAGTTAGTTAAAAAGGAGCCTGAGAAATGAATCCTGTTTCCAGTCTCCTCCTGTCCAGTTCTAGCTGATCCTGGGGGTGTAATACCTTGGGTGTGACCACCCAGCATGCTATAGCAAGATGGAGTAGATCTGCAGGGTAAACTGAGATGGTTCAACATAGCATCCAACTCTACCTCCTCACCATTCTAGCCTCCTCACCATCCATGGCTCCCATCTTCTTAGAAGGCAAATTCTCCTGTAAGTCAGAGGAGATCAAGATCATTAAGGCTGCTAGCAGATCTTCCCCAAACTATTGTCCCTCCCCTGGTTTGTTCTCCACTTAGTATCAGAGCCACCTTTTATTTATTTTGTGTACATATGTCTGTGTACTTCTGTGTATGGGAAGGGAACTTGTGGGGGTGAATGGGTATATGCTTGTTCACTTGCCAGTAGACACCAGAGATCAACTTCAGGTGTCATTCATCAGGATGGCTGTGCACATTTTTTTAAAAAAAGGAATATTTCTTTCACCAGGCATAGTGGTGCATGCCTTTAATCCTGGCACTAAGAGGCAAAGGCAGGCAGATCTCTGTGAGTTTAGGTCAGTCTGATCTACAGAGTGAGTTCCTGGACAATCAGGGCAACACAGAGAAAACCTGCTATTTTGGAGGGGGGGGGCTAAACAAAACCAAAAAACAAACAACCCCCCCAAACAAAACCAAACAAACACCTTTCAGGAGCTGGAGACACTGCTCAGAAGCCAAGAGCATCTTTTGAGGACCTGTATTTGATTCTCAGCACTCACATTGCAGCTCACCACCATCAGTGACTCCAGTTCCAGGGAGCCAGATGCCCTCTTCTGACATCTCAGGCACAAGGCAGGCATGTGGTACCCACACATGTGCAGGCAGAGCACTCACACACATAAAATAAACCACATGTTAGAAACATTTACACATGTGCAGGCAGAGCACTCACACACATAAAATAAAACACATGTTAGAAAAATCTAAAGGGCCTGGAGACACGGTTCAGAAGCTAAGAACACTGGCTGCTCTTCCAGAGAATCTAGGTTCAATTCCCAGTACCCACACAACTCTCTGTAACTTCAGTCCTGGGGGAATCTGATGCCCTCTGTGGGCACTGCATGCATGTAGTGCATACTTGGAAATAAAACACTAACACACATAAAATATTTTTTTAATTTAATAATTGTTTTTAGTAAGGTAGTGCTGGTGCAGGTGCAGGTCTTTAATCCAGCACTCGGGAGGCAGAAGCAGGCAAATCTCCGAGTTCAAAGCCAGCCTGGTTTACAAAGCTAGTTCCAGGACAGCCAAGGCTACACAAAAAAAAAACCCTGTCTCAAAAAACCTAAATAAATAAATCAATTATAAAAATTTATTTAGAGACGGGCCCTCATTATGTAGTATTAGTCCTGGCTGCCTTAAACTCCCAGAGATCCATGTGCCTCTGCCTCCCAAGTACTGGGATTAAAGGAGTGTGCCATGCTTGGCTTTGTTTATTTTCATTTTATTTCTGTACTTTATTTTTGTACATATTGTGTCTACATGTACAGTGTTTGTGCATCATGCACATACCTGCTACTTTGAGAGGCCAGAAGAGAGCATTGGATCTGCAGAACCAGCTACAGATGGTTGTGAGTGCTGTGTGGGTGCTAGGAATTGAACCTGGCTCTTCTGCAAGAGTGAGTGCACTAACAACAGTGAGTGCATGTTTGTTTTGGTTTTGAGACAGGGTTTCTCTATGTAGTCCTGGCTGTCTTGGAACTCAGAGATCTGCCCGCCTGGCTACCTCCTGGTTTTTAACAGAATCTCTGGCCTCGAACTCTAGGTATAGCTGAGGATGACCTCTATCCTATCTCTATCTCCCCAGTGCTGGGCTTGCACTCACATAACACCACATCAGGCTTATGAAGCGCTGGGACACAACGCATCATTCATGCTATGTGAGTTAGTTCTATCTCCAACCCTGAATGAAACCTTCTTTTAGGATCAGCATGTTCACATGCTTATTGTCTCTCATCACCCTCTAAAGAAGGCCCAGTTATCTCAGGATCCCAGAGCAATGATAGAAAGTCATCGGTACTGTGGTTTGTTGATCGACTATATGAAGAGTGACATGAACGTCTGTCATTCACAATATACACAATTATATCATTACATCCATCCCATGACAATGCACAGGAGAAAAGCAAACCTCTGAAAGGTGAGACAATTTGACTCAGGTTGCCCAGTGAGTTAGCTGCAGGAAGCAAACAGAACCTGCCTGATTTTAAGGTTACCCCTGATTCTAGAGGAGGGATGAGGTGGGAAGCTGGGTCAGTGAGACCAA